GCTTATTTTCAGGAGTTTAGGGGTACAACTCTGTAACGCAAGGGTATCAGATACAACACTGCTTGGACAACGCTCATGAAACACTCCATAAAATAGCTTTCACAGAGCTGTGTAAGCAGAGCTGAGAAAGTGAAAAGCCTGGGAATGAACAGCTAGGGGTAATTAGGAGCAACTCCTTATTTTGGCTGGCAGTGCTGTCAAACTGCTCTGATTATAGAACTACATCAATTTATTTGGCAAGCATTTCAGCAGAGGAACTATAAGCAGTAACCTCTGATTACAGAAACACTTATCTCATCATTAGCCATATGAAAGTCTAGCCACATCAATCTGAAAGCTGAAAAGCTATTAATGTTATGAACTGGAAATTCATGTCTCGCATCAAAAGAAAAAATAAATCAGAAAACATGCTATTTTAAAAGTTAAATCCACATATATTTATAATCACTTGACCATAGAACCTCCGTCAGTTACAAAACCTAACTAGGTGACAAGTTGCATCAGAAGGATCACTTACTACAGTCATCACACGCTGGTCTGGAGGGAAAGTTTGAAAAGAGCGACATGCTCGTAAATCTACAGGATCTCGCAGGTAAAAGGCCTGGACCGCTGCCGCCACCAACGAAGGGCGTTGCCTCAGCACTGCCACAATGCCTGCAGGAAGGTAGCAGTGGGCTCGGTGAAACGAGGCCTGAATTTTCTCAGGATACCTGTATCACGCAACAGCAACATAGTGTATTAAGTGTCTTGCAAGCCCAAACCACTTCTTTTTATTATTCCCATTTTCATGTTGATGTTAATCTACATTATGGGCCAAGTGCCAGAATATTATTCTAAACTAAAGTTAAAACTCAGCTAACCTAACACCTGGAATGTCTGTTTATATATATATATACATAAATATATGTAGCTAATAAAAATTTAATCCCCACATTGGTAAAATGAATCACTGTGAACTTCACTAACATGTCCAGCTATACAGTATCCTTCACTGCACCGAGCGTAGAAGTCACCTGGCTTCCGCTGTCAAATCCAAAAAACAATGTACAGTGCTGAACACACCGGTGACAAGCTGATGCTCTGAAAAGCATGCTGGTTCTACAGTTTACTTTGCAATCCTCTTCCTCCCTCCCCACCCCTCGCAAATGGCTCCTAAAAGTTCACAGAACTTTCAGATTTTTCAGTACAAGAAGAAGGTGAAGGAAGAATAACTTTTGTCATCGTCAGGTGTGGCATCATAGCAGTGAACCACTGTGAGAGCCCCCAGATAACACAGGATATTGGTCCCCCTCTTTAGGAGAATGCCACAGAAAAGCCTCTGGCTGGTGGTTTCTGAAAAGGAAGCAATTTTATCACGTCTAACAGGAAAATTATTGAATACAAGAAAGTACCCCAGACAGCTGAGAATCAAAACTTACTCTTGCAGAAGACCAAAATAAAACAGCCACATACCCACTGATACGTTTATACACTGCTGTTCTAATGGGTTCCGCAGCCAGAAACTCCTCCGAACGGCTGGATAACAGCGTTAACGCGTGCGAGATTGTTGGACTGGCAGCAGATGGGGCACATTTCTGCTCGTCAG